GATGTGAATTTTTGTTCACAGTTGTTATTACGTAACAACAACAACATAATTCAGTTTCTGGAAAGAAAAGCAGTTGGCTTTAAAAGAAGTTGTTCTAGAGAACGCGGTCAACCAGTTGTACTGAGAAAATTGATGTTTTGAGCTTGAAGATTATACGATAGCTAGCTTGAAGTTTCAGGTTATGTTGAGAAGAATTTCAGACATAAGTTTCTAATTTAGCATAGCTTAAGAGCCACGGCTAAGGATATCAATGTTCTTTTTGGGATAAAATGTGAATTTTATATACCAAAATCTGGAAATGTTTTCTTTACAAGATTTTTGGCGGAGCAGAGTGTTTCAAAAGGTCCAAAAAAAAAAATTAAAAATCCTAAATGAGAACCAGATATTCAAGCTCAAGTGTTAACTACTAATAGGTGAACCATTGGAGAGAAGATTTCAAAACGATTTGCGATGATACCAAGCAAAATGGAGTCTCTGAAGCTATGATCAATCTGCTTGAAGATGACAGTATGGGGAGTGAAGACAGAATTGTGGAGTCTATTGTTTTTCTCTTTCCAAATGTAGTAAACCAAAGTTTGGACTGCCAAATTCTTTAGTGTGTTACTCAAGGGGCCAAAAGGAGATGAGAGGCAAGTAATGAGATTAGACCAATCAACAACAAAGGAAAAGTGAGGCAAACTAAGTCGAGAGAGTACCTTGTTCCAGAATTGTAAGCTGAACTACAGTGAAGAAGCAAGTGATCTCTAGTCTCAAACAAGTAGGTTGTATATTCATTCCCCAGGAAGCTAACCGAGTTTTGACAAGAAGGCCCAAAAATTGAAAACATGCTTTGGGATATATCCTTTGTAACAAACACCCTTGTCAGGGTCGTGCCTATTTGATAACAAAAGAAACACTTGCTTAATTAGGGCATCTAACTTTATACAAATAAGGTTATAACTTATAATATGTGGTTGTGGAGAAAGATGATTTAACTTTTTTACCGACCTTAAATGTCCACCAATATGATGTTAAAGTTACTCTATGATTTTTGTTTTTCTTCTCTATATTCTCAAGCCCATTTTTTTTGTTCATCACATTGATGTTTCCGTTTTATATTTACTAGCTTGATTATTCTTTGTTAGGTTTATAATCTAATTTACTTTCATTTATAAGTATTTTATTTTGTAAAATACATAATTTTATATAAAATTAGGTATTTTGTAGATTAGAGTTTTATATCAAATTTTCTATAGTTATCACATAATAATTTATGTTTCTGTGTAATATTTTAACAAAAATATATTTCATAAATTTTGTTGCTTAAATGATTTTTTGTAATCCTAACATTAGTTTACATTTGTTTCTATTATCTGATGATAAATTGTTAAACATTAAACTACATTTTTTATCTCGCCTATAGCATTATAAACTCTAGGTACCGTTCTGACTCTTGGCACATTTCTTAACACTACTATTAGGTATAAGTTGTTTCCAAGTGTGTTTGTGACAAAAAAAAAAAAAAATTGTTCCCAAGTGTGCTTTGTGGAAAAAGAATTCTCAGAAGTCCCCTACAACAGATAATATCCATGCCTAGAACATCAAACAGACCTAATCTAAAAGACATCAACAGAGATCAGATACTAAATTTAGTATAAATTCAATATATAAAGATCTGAACACAGATTTCAGATTGGAACTTGAGACAATAGACTGGAAAGTGATTCTTAGTTATCGTGCTTCTCTATCAACTATTTCTTCAATCTAAAAGCAGACTTGTTCATAAAAAAAGAAAAACGGTGCAAGAAACAAAAAAAAAGCTACCAGCAGATGACAAAACCATGTGTAAATTCTTTCCCAGAGTTGACTATAGCTTTTTATTTGTCAACAATGTCATAGTAATGAAAAACAAATTAATTAATAGATAAGCT